TTTACAGCCCTAGGGGAGGTCGAATTGGGAGGTGGAGTTGGACTTTGCCTCCTTCCTTGGTCGGCGTAGGAGGAGGGGTGCCCCTTCCCCAAGTATGCCACTCTCCCCCTCTCCCTTACACTTATATATATTAGAGGTTTTTGGCCTTTGCATGTACAAGTTCTCTCTAGTTTCGTCTAGTAGATCTAGTTCTAATTTAGACTTGATCTAGATTAGTGTTAGTTCTAGTTCCCTCTAATCCTCATAATAGAGAAGCCTCATGAGGTTCTCTTCTCCCTCCTCTAATTATGCAACAGCGATTAGATCTGAACAGCGAAGCGCTGCCGGATCAGACAGCCTGAACGTGTGTAATCCGTAGAGAGGTCGTGCTTTCGGTCTTTGATTCCAGGGATCGTTCTTGAGCAGTTTGAGGACTTAATCAACAATCTACACCAACCATTCTTCCACTACAACTCGAAGTTGGTAACGATTTGATCTAAATCTCTAGTGCATCTTCCTAGTGTTCTTGGGATCAAAATCGTAGTACGATTTATTTTGTTCTCTACTATGTTTCCCAACTACTGATGCTAGCAGTCTTGGTAGAGTTGGCAACGGATAGTTGCCACTTGAGTGCCCCATTAAACTTCAACGAACAATGCATCGCACAACAATTCTTCTCCACCTTCAAGAACAAGCTGCACGCACAGGAGACCAACCACGCATCGCACAACAATTCGTCCTCCCTCATGTTGCAGTTTTCTCCTCTACCCCCTTCTTTGATCGATCGGCCATTCCTCTGGATCAAGGTCACCATCACTATCCTGCTTTTGCTGGCCAGTGTATGAATCTGGTTGTTGGGTGTACGTGCCATGCTACTATGGGTGCACCGTCGGCTCCGAGTCATCCACTTGCTTGTCCCCGTAGCAGCCTCCGTCGCCGCGGACCATCTCCAACAATCGCATGTCTTTGTTGCCATACTCCATCTCGCCCGGTGGAGACATACCCATGAATAGAGAGCGGGCACTGAGTTGATCCACACCTGGTATACATGCCTGGACAAGCTGCGACAATGGCGAGTCTGCGAAATGGAGCGGTGTCGTGTTGACGTTGACGCAAATACGACGCATGCCCCCAATGGCAGAGGTCGGGGACTTCGGGCCGAGCTGCTTGGCGGCGTAGATGTAGGGAGGTTAGTATTGCTTTGCCTAGGAAGAATGTGCATGCACGGCGACAGCGGGCAAGAGGGTACTTACACACACAAGAGCAAATACTTGCACCCAACGTGAGCAAGAGGGTTGTCAATCCCCTTATACTCGTTAATTACAAGGATCAAATCTGGTAGTAGACGATGGATAAATAACAAAGTAAAATAAAAGTAAATAAATTGCAGCAAAGTATTTTTTGGTTTTGTAATATGGTTAAAATATACCCGGGGGGCATAGTTTTCACTAGAGGCATCTCTCTCATTAAGATAACATACGGTGGGTAAACAAACTGTTGTTGGGCAATTAATAGAAAGGCGCATAATCATGATGTTATTCATCGCATGATCATGTATACAAGCATTACGTCCGTGACAAGTAGACCGAAACGATTCTGCATCTACTACTATTACTCCACTTTGAGAGCGCTTCTATATCTTGCCTCTCTATGTATTAAGTCCATAACAAACAGAGTAATGTATGGAGTATGATGACATAATGTAGACAAAATAAGATCAACTAATATGACCTAACCCATCATTTTATTCTTAGTAGCAACAATACAAATGCGTGTCTCGCTACCCTTTCTGTCACGAGGTGAGGATACCGCAAGATTGAACCTACTACTATGCACCACTTCCACTAAAGATCTACTAATTAACTTGGCCAAAGACAACTCATATATAGGAAAACATTACATAGCTATAGAAATCATACATAATAAAGTTCAGAAAAGACTCAGTTACTTTCAGTGAATAATCTGATCATGAACCCACAATTCATCGGATCCCAACAGACGCATTACACAAAAGAATTACATCATATTGATCTCCGAAGAGAACATTGTATTGAAGATCATAACGAACGAGAGAGAGAGAGAGAGAGAGAGAGAGAGAGAGAGAGAGAGAGAGAGAGAAAGAGAGAGAGAGTCATTGTGTACCCATGTGTCCTGTAGGAACTACTCACACATCATTGGAGGTGCAACAAGGTTGATGTAGAAGCCCTCGTGGTCGATTCTTCCTCCGGCAGAGTAGTGAGGGAGGCCTCCATAAGAGATCGCGGAACAACAAAGCCTTGTGGCGGCGGAATAATTGTTTCGGGTCTCGCTATGACGTTTTTGGGATTTTAGGGAATTTACAGAAGTGGATTTAGGTCAAATGGAGTTACGTGGGACCCACAAGCTGAGGTGGCACCATGTGAGCTTGTGGCTCTCGCGTACATCATCTAGTCTCCTCCTGAGACTTCTAGTGTCCCTTATGGTTTAGAAAAAATCATCGTAAAGTTTCGTTGTATTTGAACTTCGTTTGGTATTGATTTTCCGTGAAACAAAATAACAGACAAAAACAAAAAACTGGCGCTGGGCACTAGGTTAATAGCTTAGTTCCCAAAATGATATAGAATGGCATATAAAGTATACAAAAATGATAAGATAATAGTATGAAAGAATAAAAAATTATAGATACGTTGGAGACATATTAGGTGACGTCGATTAGAGTGAAGAGGGAGGGAAAGGGGGGGGGGGTTAGCAACGAAACATAGTAGGATGCCACAAATGAGCGGGCTTAGACTCGATTTTGGGTGCGCATGGTGTCGGAGTCCTGCGTGGCCGAGGTCCAGACTCTCACAAAGCCTCCTGGCTTGCTTTCGGTTTGCGGGAAAACGAACATGCGAACTATTGCTGTTGAGAACATGGTGAGAAGGAGAGTGCGGGAAAGGCTTTTGTATGTCAAAGTAAAGACACACGAAGGAAGGTCTCCATCACGTAGGGTGGTTCAATGTCCGACTTGTTTGTCGATGATGCATGGCTCACAGGGCAGGTATATATGCAGAAGCTGGGAGGGAGGACAACACGGAGGCGGCCGAGGGATGGCGTCTAAGGAGGAGGGATAAGCGTAAGAAGGGTTGAAGAGTGCAGGGGAAGGTTGAAGAATGAGATGGCATGATGAAGAAGCAGCGCAATGCCTAGCGGTGGTCACCGATGGAAGGGCGACAGAGATGTGAAATCATGAAGTTAGGAAAAATCGGGAGGAGAGAGGGATAGAGAGTTACCCCGGTGCATGAGTTTCGGCATGACTTGTAGAAAGTGGGCCCAATAGCAATTAGGGAACAAAGGGAAAAGCTTCCCCTCAACTGAATGATGACTGTCGCACATCAGTTGTCTCCGTGGGCGCCTGAACCAATGTTGATCGTACGACGCAGGTGCAACATGAACGAACCACCTAGTTTGCAACATGGACCTTGTTGCAAGCATATGTGGACAAACACAAATGCTTGTAGCGGTCTGCGGCGGACGCCTCCTACGTGTGCCACATGTCCCCACAAAGCTGACCCACACACTGACCATCCTTCTCTTCTACTACATTCTCCCTCGACCATGGAGACACTCTCCATTGCTCTATCCCCTCTCGACTCTCCGCCATGGGACACACTTTCTCTTCTTCTGACTTTCGCCGTGACCATCCAGTCCCGTCACGTCGCCGTCTCATCCCTACCTCGGCCATGCAATGCCTCTCCCCAAGTGCTTGATCCCATCGGTGAGGGCAAAGTTGTCCGCGTGACCATGCCCGGTACGGTAAGCCAGAGGGAGGAGGCTGCAACCTGTGAGCGTTTTTTCTACACCACCGTGCTGCAATGGCGACGGTGAAACGACAACGACAACAACATGCTTCTGGAGTGGTCATGGGCGCCGTGGTGTTGTAGAGTGGCCATCGCAGCATCACCTACGCTACAGATAGGGGGCAACGTTGCAACACGATCGATTGCAGAGTGGGCACCAAAACATCATCTCTATTGCAGATAGGGTCAGCGTTCGCAACGCCATCGGTGTTACAGAGTGGTCATCATAACATCACCTCTGTTGCAACGGTAGAAAACGGTTAGACAAGAGCGCAACACGACTCATTTTGCAAAGACCCGAGCGCAATATGATCCATTTTGCAAAGCCGGGGCTCCCGCGCCATCCAACGGCTGTCAAGGCATCCGATCTGATCTGATCCAATTATCACCTCGCTGATGCGTAGCGTCGGTCGGGAGTCGGGAACAAGCGGGCGCCGCGGTAGTGAAACAAAGTAGATACCAGCCCTATGTTAAAAAAAAGTAGATACCAGCCCAATCGGACGTACCATAGTTCTTTGTGTGGTGATCTAACGGCCAGGAATGGCTGTCGCGAGGAGGCCCTCGGCGTGCGGGTCTTCGGCCCTTCTAGGGGGGATAATTGCAGCCCTATTCGCTGGAGCGAGCGAACCAAGAGGGCGCCTCCCTCCCGATCGAACGACCAGAGAGACAGAGAAAGAGGCCTTTTACCCGAGCGCGACCGCTAGGGTTCCTAGTCGCCGCCGGCCCGCCGCCGCTACTGCCGGCCTTCCGCCGCGGCGTGCCCAGCCGGCCGAAGCCTCCGCTGCCCCGCGGCCGGAACAGGAGCCCAGCAGCGCCTCCCTCTCCCGCCCAGCAACGCCGCCGCCCGGAGCTACGCCGGCGACCAGCCCATAGGCAGGTAGCCCTCCGTCCCCCGTCCTCCCCCCTCACCCTCCTCCCTCCTCCCTCTTGCATCCTCCGTCTGTTCAATTTTTCCCCGATTTTTGTATTGGATGAGTACTTGCCGTAGATTGGATATATTGTGACAATATAATGATGACTGTTTTTTGTCGAGTACTCGCTGAATGATTTTTCCAGTGCACTTTCATTCAGGTTTACATGTGAAAAGGATCTTGCTTGATTCCGTTCCACTGGTCCATTGGATGAATAAACTCACACTTCACATGATCAAATTGTCGGTTGGCATTTCTAGTAACTCTGTTTCTGTCATCATTGCAGGAGATTATGGAGTGTAATTCTTCAGATGTGCAAATGTCACACTGTGCTGAGGGTTCCGAGACTACAATAGAGATCAAAATCAAGACTTTGGATTCCCAAACATACAATTTGCGCGTGAATAAATGTGTAAGTTGATAATGCATGCTCATATCATAAACTATGGTTATAAAGTTGTTCTCTTGGAACACACAATGTGTTGTTTGCGTTGTCTGTGTGGTTTTCTGCTGTACTCTGGAAATACTTGGCTGTTTCCATGCAATTTTTGTTCACAATCGGTCTGATTCCTGCAACTTCCTCCTGTTTTTTCTCAGTGAAATTACTGTTGCAAATTTCTTCTAATCCCTTAAGTAATTTTGAGAACACACCAGCATTTCATTAAGCATTGTGTTAGCTGGATGCCATTTGATATTATGCCTCTATGCCAAACATTAGAAGTTGCAACTAGTCCCTCTCCCTCTTATTATCTAAGATTATCTTGATTTGGTAGCGTTATGTGTTGTTCCTAGGATTCTTATGGTGTATGATTCAGAATTTTCTCAAAAAGATCTCATACTGTCCCTATGGTATATTTTCTTAGTTTATTGAGTGCTTTTTCCAGAACATATATTTTTGAGGAAGTTTTGCTCAAGGCATCTGCTCAGTAAAATGATGTCCAACGAAATTATATGTGTCATAAGATAAGTGTATGCTGGGTGAACCCTAGGAGTGATTCTGACTTGCTTAGATATTTTTTGAATTGCAGTCTGAATGTGTTCAGCCTGCCCCCTCTACAGTGAGGATCAGCACAGAGCTGCACACATTGAAAGGAGTACTAAGTAATCAGGTCGACTATGCTAGATTGTCGATGCCTTTCGTGTCCCAAGCATTTCTCACAGCAGGAATGAAGCACCACGTCCTGTGCTCCATATGGGATGATGCCTTTGCTGCATAAATGATACTCCCTCCGATCCAAAAAAAGTGTCGTGGCTTTAGTTCAAATTTGAACTAAAGCTGAACTAAAGTCATGATTGGATCGGAGGGAGTATTTTTTATAGCAGTTGTCCACTAGTCCATTACTATTCATGTGAATAGTGCCATATGTTTGTAGTCAATTAATAGTGGAGATGATGATAGTAGGCTATTTGGTCAGTATGGATATCTGTTTAATTTTGAAAGAGATTGGTTTAATTCGGAAGATAAAGATATGATTTGTTAGGAAAGTTGGGATTCTATTTTAGGCATCAAGTCGCGTCTTTTTAAAAGGGACAACATGTATCCTGTACTGATTATGAAAGAATGGTCATAAACTAGTAAAGATCCAATGTCTGTCCTGAACCTTTTCTTCCTCATCCCTGGTGCCGTGGCCATGTGCCGTTCGACTCTTGTCCCTTGGAGCTGTACTCACCTTCTATGAACGAACCTCTGTTCTAGGGCCATTACCAACCATGATACCGAGGAAACCCACCACTTATGTACTCAGTTTTGGTTCTACTAAGCCTAAAGTCTGTCTCCACAACTAACTTTCTACTAGCTAATTGCCCGTGTGTTGTTGCAACGGGAGCATACATTTTCTAGTGTTTCAACATCAATCGTGTCTGACATAAATCTTACACCCATCATATTCTAGATTTTGGTAAGAATTGATTTGATTGGAGTTTGGGGTAGGGGAAGGCAAAGAAAGTTCTAATTTATTGAGGTTTTGGTAAGATTTGATTTGGGTATGGGTAGGGGAAGGCAAAGAAAGTTTTGATTTAGTTGAGGTTTTGGTAAAGATTTGATTTGATTGAGTTAATGCAGGACGCGGGAGAGGGGGATCGAGGAGAGGGGGGATTGAGTTAATGTGCATGCGGTTTTTAGGAAGAAAATCGTAAATACCAGGTGGGAGGGGATTACATTGGAGAGAATGGAAGAAAGGGTCGAAACCTTGGAAGCGATGCGAACTTGCCAACTCCCCTTTAATAGTACTACCCCCCTCCGGGTTTTTTGGCCCCCAGGGCCAAAGCGCAGGGACCAAGGCGTACACGTTTCTAGGCTCAATTAACATCATGCACATCAATTTAGGCCCCTTGGTGCAGTCCTATTTTAAAAGTCATCAGTGTCGCCATCACTTGTTCGGACACTTGTCACAACATTATCGTACATGTCCTTGATGAGGGTAATATACTTTCTTGGGACTTTGTGTTTCTTCAAGGCCCACCACATGACATTCCGTGGTATCTTAGCATAGGCCTTGCCTCCTTTCATCCTTCTTAAAGCCTTGAAAATAGACGATGCGCTGAAATATTTTTCAAATAGTGGGTTCTATTCCTATTTTCTCAAAACATGTCAAATCGTGTAATCTTTGTTAATCTTTTGTCCCATTACAGGTGCCAATTCCTCTGCTAAAGGACAAAATAGCTACCGTAACTGGAGTATTGTCTGAACAACAACGTCTGATTTGTCGTGGGAGAGTCTTGAAGGATGATGAACTTCTCTCTGCTTATCGTATCCTCATGTACTTTTGACTTGCATTCTTATATTTCTTGTCTTAAATATTGTTTACTTGATCAATGGACGTCATTTCTGGCGGAGGTTATCATTAGATGCAATCCAGTGCACATTATTTTTTCTTGAGAAAATGCAAAGCTTTGTTTCTCGATGCAATTATTGAAATGAGATAGTTACATTAGAAGTCTAGGATCCAGGTTATGAATGCCAGACAACTCAGCCCTCATGTTACATTCTCCATACTTGCAAAAGCTGTTGGACACATGCAACGCCTGCCAATGCCCATTCCCTTGCCTCTGCCTGGATCTTTTATCCAATGCATAATATGTCTGTCTGTTTGCCATTAAATATTCACCCATTGAGAACGAACAATATCATAAGAAAATCAGGTTAATGTTGAGTATTATAATGGAATATTTACTCCATTACAGTTTTTTATCATTAGTACAAGATTTTTAGAGGATGTTAGTCACATTGTTGGGGATTTATGACGCTCCATTTGGAATTGTTTTGGTATACACTTTTAACATGGTTGCGGTTTTTGTTGCAGCAGCAAATTTCTTTCCTTTTATGTTTCAGTCTGTACCATTATGCAAAGCCATGAATATGAATACTTTGCTCATGTCTTCACTCCTGTCATGAGAAGTTCCTAAAACCCAACTAAAGTCTCCATTGTAGCATGCCAACAAAATGGTATATGTGTCGTGTGTCAAGTTGTATTTAGATTCAACCCTGTAAATGTTACTCCTTAACAGTAGTTTTTAGATGTTGAAGATGGCCATACATTGCATCTTGTTGTTAGACAACCAGGCCAGCCAGCTGCATCAGGAAATGCAGGAAATGAAGGTATGTGGAGTTTTTCAATTGTACAGTATGAATGTTTTGCTGATTGAAACATTTTTTTTAACATGCATGGCTATCTTTGTATCTGTGCTATTTTTCTTTTTTAGTTTGGAGTGCTTGAATACTTTGTAAGCTTCTTCAGTTGGAAATAGTTTTCTAATCATAACTGGAGTTTGTGCTATATGTTGCATCTCTTGCATTATGTTATTCTTGTTTTTGTTGTGTCTGGACAGAGCTAGTGACCATTCTATAACGGTGCAGTGAAGCAGGTGTTGTGACCTATGTGTCATTGTGATTGTTGGCACATACAGTTCTGGTTGTTTAGTTGCAAAATAGTAATGTTCAAAAAATCGTCAAGCTTAAGTGAACCAAAAAGGCCAAAGCTTAGAGCAATGGGCGCTTAAGCGTTTTTTAAAGTTTGGCTGTTTTTGAATAATATGCACAGGAAAGTAGGAAACAAAATACATAGGTAACTCAAATAGCATCTAAAATGCAGTTCACACCATAGCAAAAGGTTCACACAGCAAGCAAAATAGCAGCTAAAAGCCTAAACTGCAGTTCAGTTCAAACAGACATATCCTAATAATAGGATATGGCATGTTGCGGTCAATTGCGCAAGCAGCCAATCAGAAGCATGCTTCCAATTCCATTCCATGACAATCATGGATCAGTCCTCATCCACATAGGTGCGTCCAGTCACCACTTCATCTTCATCATCCTCGTAATCTGTGTCCTCCGAAGACGTCTCCTCTGGTTCTTCTGTGTCAGACTCAAACTCTTCATCTTGAAGATCTGTTTCATCTGACCATTCTGCAAGTACTCTGAGCTGTGAGCTTGTTGCCCTCATCGTATGGTCGTTTTGGATGATAATCTGTAAACATCCGCAGTTACTATTTTTAGATTGTTACAGCCTGTGGCATAGGTAGACTAACCAGGCACAGTACAGTAGGGAATATGATTTCATTTTGTATCTTAGGACTCACACTTCCATGTTCTCAGTCTGAATACAAACTTCTTTTTTATTGGAAATAACTTCTGTTCCTTTATGAACTGTCAAAAATATTTCAGCTAGTGTATCAAATTCAACTCGTCGTCATGGTCGCACAGTTCGCAGTATTGTGCTTGAGGCTGTAGATTTGGACCAGGGGAGTGAATTCTCTAGCATAGCCCAGGTAATTCAACATGCTCCTTATATTCTACTTGTTCTAATTCAAGAATATCTATATTTAGCATATATGACTGAGGTTTTGTTCAAATTGCATCTATTCTTCTTGTGGCAGATTCTCCAGAGCATGTTGACCAGCCCACAAGTTCAGGTAATCCAGCATACTCAAAATACTTCTTTACATCAGATCTTCAGGAACTTATTTGGGATTAACTATTTTAATGCCAGGGTGGATCAGCACCTTCTGATACCAGACCTTCAGAACCTATGCAATCTTCATTCCCAAATGATGTCAGGGTCGAACTTGATCAACAGCAGGCTTCTCTGCATTTCCCTGAAGCGGCAGTTGGATCATCAATGCCAAATGTAAATCTTTGCTTTGTCTTTCATCCTCATTGCACGCCTGGTGAGGATGTAATGTCACATTGTCACTAACATACTCTATCTTTTGCAGGTCATCCCTGATTCCGTGAGTACAATTTCTCAGTACATTAACTTTATGAGGGACTCGTTTAGGAGGGAAGGCTTCAATGGAAATGGTTTGACTGTGCTTTCAATCTGCGATAGCATCCATTTTGTAGTTTGTTCTGTGAATATTTACCCCCAGTTCTCTTCTTTTGCAGCACAAACGGTGGGTAACATTGACCCTGGAACTGCAGGAAGTGCTCATGCTGGTGGTACACAAAGCCAGGAAAACCAGCCTGGTTCAACTTCTGCACATCATGTACTTCCTACTGCAGCATTGCTAGCTGAAACCATGCACTCTACTAGACAACTTCTTGTTGACCTGGCTGGAGAATTGCTATCTGTAAGTTGCATTTTTCAAAGCCTTCTGGGTTTCAAGTAGCTGATGCAAAATGCTAGTAGTCCTTATCATTTTAGCAAGCTGTTTTTGTTTATTCTTGTTCAGCTGGGAATGCCGTTTATTTAGTTCTTTGCCTATTCCCTTTGATAGCGGACCTCAGATATTTTCATAATTATATATTTTAATTCCAGCTATTCAAATGATGCCATGTTGGTACACCTGGTTTTATTTTAATTGGATAATGAGCTGTACAAAAGATTTTATGTTTATACTGAGTAACCTATTTAGCTACAAAACTGAATTTGACGTTTGAATGTGTTAACTTCTTCAACACGGCGTCAAAATGAATTAATGTATTGTGTGTTATGATGTGGCACTTCAATATGAATAAAGGGCTGAATTAATGTATTGTGTGTTATGATGTGTCTAAGGATTCCGGTATGAAATTTTTGTATTTGGCTGATACAGGTTTACTTTTTGATTCAGTTTGCTGTTTATATATTAAGTTACTATGATTATCAATTTTTACATCACTTACCTGTGTTTGAAGTCTGGAATTTGAAATCATGTTATCATTCTAGCAACTCTCGACGCAATTGGGAGATCTTGGGAATGTAAGTGACTCCACAACACGGAGGAACCTTCAACAGAGTGCAATGAGACAAGGTGTTCTCCTCCAGAGTCTTGGTTCATTACTTCTAGAACTTGGTCGCACCACAATGACGCTTCGTATCAATCCCGCACCTGTAGGTTTCTGTGACAACTATGTTTACCTCATTTCAGATTGGAAACGATTTTGTATTTGTACTTCTGCACTGACCCATTTACTATTTTCAGTCAGAAGCGGTTGTAAATTCTGGACCGGCTGTTTTTATATCCCCATCTGGGCCAAACCCTCTAATGGTTCCTGTGAGTTTTAAAATCTTAATTTAGAATTAATAAATAGAGAAGGCATGTATCCTGTTTATCCATTTGCTAACTAATTTCTGTCCAGCCTGTTCCGTTTTTTCCAGGACCAAGATCTGTCCAAATGGGTCAGATGTTTTCTAGTCTTGGTTCGCAAGGCTCTGTTCTGCACCCAAGAGATGCTGATATCCACATCCGTACAAGTGAGTAATGCTTTCCTCTGTTGATTCAGTTTTCCTTTTGGAGCATTATCGGTGTGTGAATTTCATTTTTTGCTTTGTTATGTACAGAAGGTCTGTTCAGCTATCATCATACCTTAAGTTAGTTAACGGTGGAACTGTGGAAACACGAGTTCTGAGAGTCAAGCAGTGTTGATATTGTGTAGACGGGAGTCCTAACTTAGCAGACTGAGTAATCGTTACATGTAGGGTGAATGTGTTAGTTAAAAGTTCCATTTATCACAACCTCTAGCTGATAATGGTTTGAAATTACCAAATTGTTGTAAGAGCCAGTTTAGAAGTGCAGATCGGGGGTGGTTTAGATCTTTGATGTCTTATCTGGTATATTATATCAATCAGAACATGCAGGGTGGGCGTGTTGATTCAGAGTTAGATTTAAGAATTCATGACGCTTGCTTTTAGCAATTTATGGGGTATGCTAAACTTGATGCAGTTAGTAAGCACGGATTGGGATTGGTTTTATCAATTTATGGTTTTATACTAAACTTTGTGCCAGTTGCAAGCATATATTGGGATTGGGAATTATTTAGAGCTGAGGTAGTATTGTCATATTAAATAGATCAGAACAAGCAGAATAGGGTGTGTCAATTTAAAGTTAAATAATTGAATCAGGAGAGAGTTTTTTCTGTCCCTGTGGCTTGTGATTTCCCTCCCCTATTTCTGATATAAATACTTATCTCTTTTGCATATCTTGTATGGGTCTCTCTTCCGGTTTGACTTGAAAGAATAAATAAATAATTGATGCATCTGGGATAACCGCCTGGTGTGTTCATTTTTCCTTCTGATGTTATTTTGGTTGATGATAATGGTTAAATGCCAGTCTTTTTGGATGTTAGGTGGGTCTGTGCCTGTAGCCAGTACTAACCCAAGTGAATCGGTTGGGGCACAGCAAGCACAAGAACATACAGATAGAACTGGCAATGCTTCACATTCAAACGCTAGAGAAGCATTTGCACGAGTTGCAGGTGGTGCTCCTTTTGCTGTTGGGTCTGGAGTTAGACTATTGCCACTTAGGACAGTTGGTGCTGTGCCTGCTGGCATCAGTCGCTCTCCATTGGGTTCTTCTAGTGGAGGAGTTGGTGTTATCATTCCAATGATAACCAGAGTTCATCAGAGAGTAAATTCTAATGGTAGCGGTGCACGAAATGGTCAAACTCCAAATGAACCTCATAGTGACACCCATGCTAATCTGCAACCGAATCCTCAGCCACCTCAAGCACATGAAGCAGGTGAATGAGTTTCCTTACTTCATCTGTGTTGTTTTCGTCCTTTTCAATTGTTGTGCTATTTGTTCTTTAAATCTGGAGTTTCTGTTAGGGGTTTAATCTGGTTGGGTGGCGCCATATTCTAGGGGCCCAATTTATGCTATTGAAAATTTGTTCCTCTAGCAGACTCACGGCTAATGCAATCCTGAACCTGGGTCCTGTCAATGCCCACTGATCCTCATACCTTGTTGGATTTGGACAGTTGTTTTTTGAGAAGATATTTGGAGTTTTGGACTGGCTGCAGCTCAGATTCGGACCATAGTTCTCATCGATTCGAATGATATTGTGAAGGCAGGGGATGTTAAAGGGATATGGGTGCCATGTCGATGGTAACAACTGCCATCAAATGAAGTCTGTCCCATAGGTTTACATTGTGGGTGTGCTTGTTAGCCTGTTCACTGACAGGCAACAAGTTGCTTTTTTTTCTTGAGTATTATCATGGCGTGGTCGCTTTGCTTTCTGAATGTGAACTTTTCCGAATATTGCAGGTGGAAATGTTTACACAAAAACGCTTACAATCATTTCTAGTTTCTACCCTGAACCAATATCTGTAACATAAAATAAAATGCTAGGTGATTTCCCCCCTAAAGAGATCAAACCGATGGTAACTTTTTTTTCTGACAAAAAACTGACATTACCATATGTATGACCATATATGATTTTAACAAATGCTGTTAGGATATGAGGGCAATATCTGACTAAATCTGATTAGTTTCTACCTGAGTTGGCACTACTTTTGCATGCCATTCCTTGATGATTCTTCATTCGGTATTCTGGTCCACATGTTGACATTTTGGTGTTCCGAAAGACAAGGCTTTAATCATGAATGGATTTTTTTAGGTAATCTGGGACATCCTGTCGAGGTCAATGTGGGGAACAGTTCTCAGGCTTCCCATGGTCAGCAGAATGGCCAGGGTCCTTTTTCTCAGTTGATGGACAGTCTCCAGTGGATTGGATCACTGTTTTCTGGAGAAAATCCCCCAGCAAACGGTACAAGTCAGCATGCACCAGCGGCTTCTGCTGAGCCGGTAGATGCTAGAAACCATGCAGTACCTGAAGCGTCAGTGGCCAGCGACGAGGGGATACGCTTTGCTAACTTGGTCAGGCAAATTATGCCACATATCTCCCAGGTTGAAAACCAGTCTCAAAGCACCCCAGCAGACACCAGCAGTACTCCTTCACAGGCAAATGCAATCCCTATTTCTGTTAGTAACTTCAGAAATAATATCGAGTTATTTGTATTTGTATTGTAACATCGAGTACTGAATGCAGGCTGCCGTGCCTGAGAGCACAAACGGTTCAAGGGATGGGCCAAGTGATTCCAGGAATTCACGTCAACATAGCCGTGACCCAGTTGAAGGCCCTAATTCTAAAAGGCAAAGGAGGTATTGCACGTCTCGCACATGTGTTATCTATTTTCTTATGGTAATAATTATAGATGTTTCATTGCATTGATTTGTTTGATCTATTCCTGTCATGATTTCCCTCGTAAGTGTTCTTGAAATATCTGTTGGCTAATCATTTGACCTGTGTTGAACTTTTTGCAGAATGAGTGAGTGATTCAGGTGGGCTTGTTATTGTTGGGTGGGCGCTGCTTTTGCAGTCTGAGCTGAGAAAATTTTCCAGTTGCTGCTACACCAGAGAATTCATGATGATGATACCGTGAGTGATAATCTTATTGAGACAAGTGGAATTGTTTCGAGTGTATAGTCGAGCCTTGGGATGTTAGGCGGTTCATAACCTGTGCTATTCCTTCTTTGCACAGCAGTTCCTGTAATCCTTTTTACTTTTTTGATGAGAGCATAAGATGTTTTGCAAACTGGTATCCATCTCCAATATGTGGAAGTCAATTATATTTTGGGGTGGAAACATCCGCGCGATCAATAAAGCCTGGCTTGGTCCTTGCTGCAGTAGAGCCCATTTTTATGTCACTTGCTGTAGATCATCATCGTTCTGGTCAGTTGGTCAGTTCAGGGGAAAGGAATATGCATGTACTCCCTCCGTAAAGAAATATAAGAGCTTTTAGATCACTAGAGTTGTAATCTAAACACTCATATATTTCTTTACAGAGAGAGTAGCATGTTGCTTGAAAGGCTCTTCGTGTGCACGTATGGTTAGAGCATCTACAACCTGAGTTGGCAAATCCAGGCTCTATATGTCCGCGGATGCCCTCTAATTATCACAGGAAAAAGTACAGTCCTAACATAGTTCAATCATAAAATTTGTTCATAGTGAATAATTGATACATAAAAATCATAGGTGATTTTCAGCATGGGTACACATATGATCCACAAGATCATTGAGAAATGGCATATGCACATGTTAATCTTGAAGTTGTTAATGCACCTTAAGAAAGTTGGTAATATGCTTTGTCTCTTGTTCCGAGAGGCGGACCTAAACACCGGGCTTCTCAAAATCATGTCCTTCACCCTTGTCCTCAACAATCATGTTGTGCAAAGATTACAGAACATGTCATGAGCTGCCAATGTGTCTTCGCTTCCCACATCATTGCAGCTCCATGAACAATAGTCCACGAAACGGCCAGAATCGGCCAAAACTGTGAGTGTTGATGACCGACACGTAAGCGCACCTTGGGGTTCGTTAATCGTGGAAATCACTTCGGGACCCTAAAACAGTGACTAATAGTCCATGAAACGGGACAAAATCGACAAAAACTGCTAGTGTTGATGACCGACACGTAGACGCACCCAACGTTCGTTAATCGTGGAAATCATTCTCGGACCCCAAAACAGCGAGTAATAGTCTACTAAACGGGCCAGAATCGGCCAAAACTGCGAGTGTTGATGATCGACACGTAAACGCACCTCAGGGTTCGATAATCGTGGAAGTCACTCCGGGACCCCAAAACAGTGAGTAATAGTCCAGAATCGGCCAAAGCTGGAAGTGTTAATGACCGACACGTAAGCGCACCTTGGGGTTCAACAAGCATGGAAATCACTTCGGCACCCCAAAACGGTGAGTAATAATCCATGAAACGGGTTAGAATCGACAAAACCACGAGTGTTGATGACCGACACGTAAACGCACCCCAGGGTTCGTTAATCGTGAAAATCACTCCGGGCACCCAAAACAGTGAGTAATAGTCCATGAAACGGGGCAGAATCGGCCAAAACTGTGACTGTTGATGACCGACACGTAAGCGCACCTTGGAGTTCAACAAGCATGGAAATCACTTTGTGACCCCAAAACAGTGAGTAATAGTCCACGAAACGGGTCGGAATCGACAAAAACCGCGAGTGTTGATGACCGACACGAAAATGCACCCCATGGTTCGTTAATCCTCGAAATCACTCCGGGACCCCAAAACAGTGAGTAATAGTCCATGAAACGAGTCAGAATCGGCCAAAACTATGAGTGTTGATGACCGACACGTAAATGCACCCCAGGGTTCGTTAATCATGGAAATCACTCCCGCACTCCAAAACAGGAATAGTCCACGAAACGGGTCAGAATCGGCCAAAAACTATGAGTGTTAATGACCGACATGTAAGCACACCT